TTCAACTCATCTGATTACAGAGCAGGCTTATTTTTTTCATCAGGCCGCCACCACATCTGACTGGCACCGCTAAAGATGGCACTCAGGTGCACAGATCAATAAGATCAATGACTGCAACATTATCAGCTATTAGTATTACCTATTGATCAGCCACTGTATAGAGCCCACGTACAGCTGGCCCTACATCCATGCCCTAACACAGCACAGCTGAAGCCAGATCAATAAACGGAGTGGAGACAGCTTATTGTACTGACTCAGCTTATGAATACTGGCTTATGAATACTGGTTGGTAGCGGTGTCCACGGCATGGGCGTTGCCAAGATTTGTTTCCAGGGGGGCGGGGGGAGGAGAATAAAGCACTCATGAGCAGCAACCTGACAAGAAGGGGTCAACTCCATTGAACTTTTAAGCAAATTGGTGATTTATGCATTTCCCTTTTTCTTCTCTTTTTCCTATTTCGTTCGCTGTAATTTCCTTTTCTCCCCATATTTCGGTTTCCTTTTCTTCCCCAAGGAGGATGGGGGTTAAGGGCCCCTTTCCCCCCACCATGACCATGGCATTGGACACCAAGACTTTGGAGTTTCCTTTTCACTCATTTTCACAGGTTTTCTCTCATTTGGAATAGCTGATTCACTCGTTTTCAATACTGCCTGTAGTCCTCATTTGAATTGAAATGACTTTTAAAACATGAGGGAGGGAAATCGTGGTGACGCGTGGAAAACAATGAACTAGCCAGGAAACTTATTTCTGGATCCAATTACTGGCAATCATCGTGAGGGCGCTCCAGTTCCTTATGACGGGCATACGTGTTTGGTAATAAAGTGGTTAGTTTTCCCTTTATTTTAAAATGGATTGATGTTCAGTGAAACAATGAAATTTCACATCTCCAATGATTTCTGGGGGTGTAAAAAAATAAGAAGTCATCTTTAAAAATTTTCTTCTCACTTCTGTATTTCAAACCCACCTTCATTCCTGATTGGAAAAAAGTCTTGCAAGTTTCTAAGATTCAATCATTCTTTGTATTTTGGTCCTAAATAGGGCCCATCGGAATTGGGAAAATTCCTGTATGCAGGAGTATGCATTAACTTCTTGCTAAATCATATTACATATAGGCTAAAATTATTACTGTTGCTTCAGGATACCCGCATCGGTTCTGAGGTTATGCTAAAGAAAACTATCACTAGAACTAGTGGTAAAGTCACACAAAAAAAGGTGTTTACATTATTTTTTCCCAGGTATTTGAGGACACATTACACTGGTATTTTCCAGTGCACTTCACTTCAACTTGATCCAGGATAAATATCAGGGTCGTATAAAATGGGCAAACAGTGGAATTTAACACGGAAAGAAATGAACCGACTCAAGAAAATGGTTGATGGCTGCAGCTCCTTATGCTTTGTAATAAGATCACTACAAATCCACAGAAAGTCATGTGTCAGTCACCACATTCAAAGTCAAATCACAAGTGGGTTCAGTGAACAAAACTGTCCTTTATTCATTCCCTATGATTCACGACCAGACCTGTAATGATTGGACCTGTAACTACAACCGATCTTTCGACAGAAATCTGTGAACTACAAAGGCCTCACAGATGAGAGCAACTACTCCCTCTTCAAGCAAAGTATCAAGCTCCAATTTCAAGAATACGGAGCAGTACTCTCACTTCATTCTCACTTGCTCACCAGCATTTTCCACACAACCAAACAGACCGCCACAACATGTTACTAAACCATACATTGTGAGACCAGCTTCCTCCCTGCATTATTACTTATTGATTAGACCTTGGTATCACATTTGTTCCACTCCTTTGAGAAATATCGACAGCAATAAATCAGACAATCATGACCATCCCGCACATATTTCACTCCTTTATCGCTTGAACTATGACGTAGCACGTGCACTAGCACGTCAATAAAACTTAAATAAAGCCCAAAAAGGTAAGGGTTTCTTAGTTTTGTCTCGCAGCACAGAAAGATGATCTGTTGATGGCCTCTTCACAACTTTTATTGTCACATTGTAACAGTAATACGGGTAAAAAAATTTTTTTTCTGTAGTATCCATATGCTTGATACAATACATAAAAGTAAAATACCAAAGAAATATGTATTGATACCAAATTGTTACTACCTGCAAAAGTACAGGTCCAGAACCATTTTAGGGGGGCAATGGAATTTTAGAATTTACTGATAACTAACCTCCATGAGGCCTTCCAAATGGTTAAGGTCAAATTCGGGGGCTGTTTACATGCTTTGGGTTGGGAAATAAAATGTTTCAAAAACAGTTCTCTCATTATTTAAAAAAAAACCCACATTTCAAATTTGCCCCCTATTTGTGTGTGTGGGAGGGGGGAAGAGCCCCCAATGCCTCTATCTCACCCCTTGGATCTGCCTGTGAATTCAACACTTGTCTTTGTACTTCAGTTAACTGGAAAAAAAAAAAGTACTTACCAGATTCTATGCTACGACGACAAGTTTAATCCACAGACTTTATCCAGAAGTTAAGAAAGAGGATTTTTCTTGAAGAGGGTCCTTCTACAGGTGCAAGTTGATGAACTTATGGAGAATGGTTTCAATCCTCTATAAAGAAAACAAAATCATAGCTACACGTTCTTATAATTACATATACGCAGAAGTCTGCCACTGACAAACATCGCCCAAAATTGTGCACGCACTTCCAAACTTTGCAGCAAACTCATCCATTGCTGACAACACCTGTTCTATCAAAGTGCATGTGCCCTATTCAAGCTTAAGGAGAGCTATTTCATTTAGTATTTAGTACTAGTATTTATGCTTGTTTTAATTAATAGCTGCAGGTGATGTTGTGTTTGCACACATGGCCAACCATAGATTTTCCGACAGCTGGTTGGCACAAACTGCAGATGCAACTACACCTGTTTGATCTTTTCTTGCAAATTGCAATATAGTTTATTGGCTTAATTGTGAATGGTGCTCACTAGAGATGACATGCTAATTCCGGGCAAGATTTGTATTTTTTAAATTTCATATCCATCAAGTAAAAAATAAAATCCACCATCCATTAGGTAAATGGTACGTCACAAAATAACCATCACAGCACATCATTTGCTACAACTGTAAAAATAACTACGTCAATTGAATCATACCTATAAAATCATGACTGAAATGTCATTCTCGTACCTGATGCAATATTTTTCATCCTCTTTTCAATCCAAGCTATAGAACAGCAGCCAGTCAGCTTACTTTTAGATGATCCTTCCTGCAGCTGCAATTTGTCTGAAACTCATCAGAAAAACCACCATCGGCCCTCGAACTTCAACTATAAAGAGGAAATAATTTAAGAACCAAGTAGAATAGAGCTCTACTGAAGTTCTTTTCAGTTATATCTAAACTACAATGCCAAGAACATCTGAATAAATACAGTGGAAATTAAGAAGGGCAATAACCGTGATATAAACAGTTTTACAATTTAATACAATTAAGGTACTACCTGACTTCTGACCTCCAGAATGCTATAGTGAATGCTGGTCAAAGCTGAATGCCCTGGGAGTCCAAGGTTCAAATCCAATTCTAGTTAATTTCATTCACAAATGAATAATGTGTTTAATTCTAGTTTTATGGCTTGTTCATAGACATGTATACTCACGGTATTCCAAAGTTACAACATGACTGTTTAAAACAACTTTTAAACAACTTACCAGCTGATGTAATAAAAGACTTAAGAATTTGGGCCAAAGTGTATAGTTATGGCTCTCTTTTAATTCCTAAAACCTGAAGATATATGCAAGAAAATAACAAATTTTAAACAAAAACAACACAACCAAAGACAGAATAGGAACATATTTTGTCACAGACACCCACACAATTCCATGAAATAAACACGTATACAGAGGTATCAAAACATAAAACTTCTAAATCATTAACCAACAAATACTTGAACTGTATGGTGCATATTCACCTGTTAAAGAATTCCAATTTGAGCCCTGCCCAGCTACTAATCCTCTGCAAGTTGCAATGCAGTTTCCAAAATAACTCACAGAAAAAAGTACCTTTTCACAGCAAGTGTTTTGTTTACATTTTCATTAAAATATATCTATTTACAGAAACTGGGGTCCGAGTTTTGAGTAAAGCAAATGTTAGCATAGAAAAGTTCTATACTCTGCAAAAAACGAGCCACAAACTGAAGAACCCCCACTAGACAGCACCACAAACTAACAAATTGCCACAGTTTGGTTTACATCAAATACAAAATCTGTTATTTCATTCAGTTCTTTCAAAAAATGGAATTACGAGCACTCAATATAATCAGAGCTGATAGCACAAGTTCACAGTACAGTGAATGTTCAATGAAAAACTTAATAACTGTAGGAACAATAAAATCTCAGATGTCGATTATGCACAATGAGCCTCAAGCACTGTAATTACTTGACATATTTTTAAGTGTTCACAAATTTAAGAACATTTTATCCTGGGTGATCCCTTAGCTTCCTCTGAAAATAAGTGGAAGGTATAATAGTTGTGGAGAACGAAAAGGATAGTGGACCGATGCTTATTTCAAGCCAATGATTCTAACTTTCTGGTGTGCCACTAATACTCAGCTGTGGAAACTTGAGTCTCATTCTGTTGGATCAAGTTCACTTCTACCAGTGCCTTATAAACACAATGATAAACAAATCATGTGACCTCTTCTGCTTGATGTGTAGTGTGAACCCAAAACTGGATGATTCATAAACCAGGTACTTGAAAACATTACAAGGTTAACCGAATGAGGAAATTTCCCCACTCTGATGTGAACCCCCCCCCGACAATAAATGAAGGATTTTAGACAGTTTCACTCTTACAAGGGGAAACCCAAAACTGGGAACTATTACAAAAAGTGCAGATGATCATAATTCCCATTCCAATTTTTATAACTTGTTTTTCATTACATTGATTAACTTCAAGCCCAAAGCAATGTATCAGTCAAAGCAATCACTGCATGATGCACTGGGAGATGCAAACCAAAAGCAAACATTGAAGTTATTTTTCTGCCTCACTTCTGAATTGATGACCCTAAAATTTCAACTCTAACATAATTCTCCCACAAAATCATAAAAAAGTCTTTGTACAAGTTTCAGAAGTATATATGATCATTGGTATCTAAGCAGATAAAATTTGTATAACTTTTAACAGTGTACAGTCACAAAGATATGAAGGACGGGATCAATTCTTGCACAATACCAAATAACGTGTTTAACACAAGACTACTGTACATGATTATGATTTTACATACACCCTAGGGGGTTAGGGTTAAATAAGGAATCTACATTGGTTGGAATGGGTAGCCTAGTGATGTAAAACAGGACCACCTAAAACTCCAGCACTGACAAAGAAACCTTCCCGAACCATTCTCTTTCTTTCCCTGAACTGTTACTTCTTCTCAATGTCTCTTCTCGACAGGTTTTCTTCAGTTTTGTGAGGTAAAGTACCTAGGTTCCAGTACTAGAAAATGCTTCATAATAACAATGAAACTAGTCATGTACATGTACTTGGTCCCATAATTCCTAACTAGAACCAAGTCTAGATCTATGGTTCCAGTGCCAAGCCCTACCACTGAGGATGTTCTCATGCACACGGTCCAAACAACACCCACATTCACCAGTTTGTAAATAGGTCAGCCACTACTTGAGTGTCATAAGACTTGGACTATTGGGAATGTTTTAATAGGAATACAAGCTGGTCTATTCACACCAAAGCTGTGTCTAAAATACTTGGCTACGGCTGGCAATACCACACATATCTATGAGAAATGGCTGCAGCTGCTGGCTAGCAGGCAAACATATGACCATAGCCGTAGCCAAGTATTTCAGACATAACCTTTGTGCTTCATAATCAACAGACAAATTAGAGAGCCTTACTATGAATATGTATGAGACAGAGTACTGTAGCATGCTAGAAGAAAACACACACTTGCCAGACTAGCTTTTGAGATAAACCACCTACATGAATATATACAAATTTATACTCACAATTCAGCATTTAGACGTGTATTTACAAATGTTCAGAATGGTTACTTCAGACTTTATGTCAATGATAAAATGATGTAATCTTGAAAATATGCAAATTGCTCAGTACTTTACATGTTTGTGGAGTTTGTTGTTCACCGTATAAGTTCACCTTTTCCAAAGAATGGGGAAACCTATGATGCATTACTGAAATCTCTGTAGCTGGCAGACAAAATCTTCATCAAGTGGCATATTTTCAGAACCTTAATGACTTTGGCAAAATACACTATGCAGAAAATGCCCAAAGAGTAAATTTAAATAAAATACCAGCTAGTACCGTAAAGTTTGAATACTTTCAATTTGGCCTGACTGACCCTAAAATAACAAAATATCGAACCTAAAAATGCCATATGTTTGTGCATAAATTTTCAAAAGTCCATAATCATTCATTTTTGATAATATATTTTGCACAACTTCAGGCTAAATAGACATTACTTTGTGTTCCTTAAATAAGATGAAATCTTGACTGTAACACTGCACAATATACAACTTTGAATCGTTGCAAATGTACAACAGCAAATCTCATGCATGTGCGTCTCATGTAAAATAGCTATATTCACACGGTTCGACCGACCATGCAGGAGCAGTACAGCTACAGGATTGACTTTATTGGATTTCTTGGCGAGTTCTCAGGCACATGTACCAGACAAGACACTCTAAAATGTACACTGAAGACTTTTTACTTGAAAAAAAATTCCTTGTTACAAAACTATCAATTCTTTTTCTTTTATTAAAGGTCGTTACATTTCAAGACATCAAGAAGTAAGGCCTTCCTTAAGGTTGAAGAGGAATAAACACAAAAAATTTGAGTAATGTTTCGTGGAAACTTCAAGTGCCAATAAATCTTGTACTGCACAGCAGTTCACTCAATCTTGAATCAGCTTGCATTAAGAATACAAAAGAAATGGAATTTCACATTATTTGACAAGGCACTTTAAAATGAAAAAAATTAAGAGGCAATTTTCTAGTTGGAGGGCAAAAGATATTCACAAAAACACACATGTATTTTTGCGTCTTCCCACCATTAACCTTAACAGTCCCAAATCCTCCAATTTCAATATAATTTTACATACCCCCCTAGGGGTTAGGGTTAAACTGGGCACAAATGAGTCAGGGCCTATCTCAACTCAACAACCCACAATTTCATGAGTTACACTTTGAAGTAACCTGTAGAAGTTTCCATTGAACACTGCTGAGAAAGTCTTGAAGTCCTGAATTCAATGGTTCAAAAAATCTTGAGGAATAAGAAGGTCCATGCAGAAAAAGAGCAACAATTCCTCAAGACGTTATGGAGCCTGTGTGTTGCCTTGTGATGTAATTGCATCTACACAATCCATTGACAGTTCAGGCAAAGTCTTCCAATTGATGAACTTTTGGAACAATTTGGAACTTCAAAAGGTTGTTAATTGTTCAGAGCAGAAGTACAACTCCTTCAGCAGTGAGAGGTAAGTCACAGCTTATCCTCTTAGAAATATTTGCAGAATTCTGAGAAACATCCAATAATAATGTCGTCGAGCACGTTTAGTTTTCCATGCAGTTGTAGAAACATCTTAGATACTTTGAGAAACATCTCTTTACAACTGACACCAAGCACTTGTAGTTTCTGAAGCGGTTGCTGAAACATCTCAATGACCTGATGCACTGACATGAACAGCCAATGCTGGGTTACCATTTCTTTCTCTCAGAGCATATTCACTGACCTCTGTTACCATGTCAACCAAATACCGTCTCCTCACAGAACTTCAGCTGCCAAATCTTACCACCGTAGATCTCAAACTTCGCTCGTCCCATCAGCGCAACCAGTGTGGCCTATTCAAAGCACAAGGAAAGCAGTAGCTTACATGAAAATTCTGAAGGAGTGCTTCGGATGTCTTATCCAATGATTAAGCTCATTACAAATCGCCTTTCAGAAAGATTCTGCTTTGAAAGAGGTGATTCACAAAACAGTGTACTGCACCAAGAGAATGCCACAAACAGGCCATTTTTTGCAGTGCATTATGGGACATGGTCAACAAATCATATTTATCAGCTCAGTGTAGGGAACTTGTATTGTTGACGACATTTGTTTGTTGGGGCCAAATGTTGCTGCCATACTTCCCCCCCCCAAATAAACGTCAAACAAAATCAACACCATTTATCCATAGATAAATACCATGCTTTTACCAACCGTACACTTCGAAATGGTCCCACAATGGCAACCTTTATATTGTGAGTCGCAAGTATCGAAACATTAGGTCCTTCAATTTTTAGGCTTTGCGGGTCACTCCCGTCAATCATCAGTTAGCACAGAATTCCATTATTTTCACAATTGCACACTTAGGACAACTGTGTTATACATCATGAAGAGGATAAAATTCATGCGAATTCTTGCAAACTTAGGGGACACAAGCCTGTGACACAAACCATGAGATAGTTCCAAAAGGTTGATCTGACGGACAAAGAATCATGAAGCAACTTGAGTACTAGATTGGAGAATGTACCGTCAACTCTTCAAGCTGCTTGCTACGACAGAGTACCAAAGTGAATACATCACGCACACAATTAGTGTGTAAAAGGCATGAGCGCGTGAACCAGCGCGAGAACCAACGCGCGCACGTACTCCATTCATTTGCACTGCACTTTTGGGTTCACAGTGACGTCACACTTCGGTACTCTGTAGGTCCGACTTTCTCAAGAATCAAAACTGTAACAACCCCAGGAACCTGTCTTACCTCAACTGAGTCTTCGTCTTCGTTATCAAGGCAGTCGTAAGCCTTCTGAAGTACCTCAATGCCGATGCCGTTCATGATGTCTTTCCTTAAGGCAGCAATCCTGTCCATGAGCCGTCCAGATGTTGTCATTGTCGCATTGCCTGCAGGGAACGTAAGAATACAGTTAAAACTGTTCCCGGTGCATTTTTTTACACTTCAGTGGGAGAAATGGACAGAGGTCATTCTGAAAATTGTTTTAACCACAGTCAAAGTTTCGGAGCTGATTTGAGTTACCAGGCAATGCAACACACTGTTTGTTACTTGTGCTTTGGATCGTATATCAATCTCAACCCATTTAAAGGTTTCAACCAATGTTATGATGAAACAAACAATGATACCAACAATAATCGCATGCTGCATGAATCTCTGGCTTAACATTCAGATTTAGTTGTAGCTTCCCTATGATATTTCAGTATTTTGTGTTTCATCTCACACATGTTTGCACGTACTGTATTTTTAGTGTACGGCTAACGGCTAAGGTTGTTTACTTTTGGACCACATCAATTTACATTATTTCTCCAACCACATTAACACAAAAGTTCTTGCAGACTTTTTGATATTTTCAGAGATATTATTCATGAGTACATGAACCGCCCTTGTGTCATGTGCATGTTCCTTGGACACATACTACAAAGTAACAGTCCCCGGATGAACTTGACAATATTTCATGGCGTGCTGTACAGAACAGTTAGTCAGTCCACCATTTGTAGTTGAAAGTGACAATAGTTCACCAAACTGTTGAGCATGCAACGGTCAGTGTCACGAAAGTACCCAGAAAGATCAATCATAAGTCATCCCATTTTTAACTAAAGGAGACAGCCACTATCCATATTTGAATATATTTTCTGTGTGTAACAAGAACCAAAGAAATCACCTTTGATTGTGCAAAGCGACCAATCCAAGTACAGGCCCGCTTCTAACCCCATAAAGTTCCAACACCACTACCCATGGTTAGTCTAAGACAACAGGTGTCAGGGCACCTTACACAATGCTGGTAGGCCTTATGAGAATACAGTGGTTTCACCCTCAGATTGGTCTGTATACGTACGCCTGGCTTTGGTGCTCAAACTAAAAACAAAAGTAACTCAAGACACAGATTTGAACTAAAAAAAAAAATTGCGCATGTTCATTGCAGTGAAAAGTGCATATAATATGAAACATAAATAAACGCATGCATGGGTTAGTATATACATGCTTTCAAAAAACGAAGACAACAACAAAATTTAAAAGCAAAATAAAATTACTTAAACAAAATGAGTCCAATATCACAGGAGCTTTTGTAAACAAAATCTATAATCAATTTGGATAAAGTTACAAGCCCTCTGAACATGCTCTTGAACAGTGCAAGCATGCTTCATGATAAGTTATGAAATGGTGCTTTTAAACAGAATGATGTTGCACCAAACTCACGGGCAAAAGGCATCCCTGGAGAACCTGGTTGATGAAAAAATGTGTTACATTGCAAGCGGGATGAATTCAATGCAAAAGAAATGGGAAAGGATTAAGTGATGATAATCTTTTCTAGCACAAGCAAGGTAACCTCAGTGTTCCTGCCCAACTGAAGTCTATTGCCCAAATAAAGTTTAGAGCTTAATCTAACGCCCCATCATTCCACAAACTCAGTCTTTACATCTTGAAGGAGAAACTTTCTTAGCCCTTCGTCGAGACAATCAAAGCTGAAATCCCTTAATGGATCTCATAAGAATACATACAATGCACAGTGGCTAAAATGTGTAATGCGCCAATCTATTAAATATTCTTAACTGTGAATTAAAGCTGCAAGGTTACCCAGTAAAGTGGTAACAGTTAACATGTGGTCGAAATCTTGCCACATACCGATATACCCATTTCCTACACCTGTCTTTAGATTAACTGCAGGACAATTCTGATAACTGTTCCAGGCCAACTCACCCAGTCCCTTGGGAGCTCTTGGGGCTGCCGGCTTGATGAAGATGTCGACTGTGCCGCTCAAGGGGTCCACACTTCCACGCCTGACGGAGCTATCAGGTGTGTCCTCCGGTTCGTCGGGGGATTCGTTGATTTCCTCCTCTATGTTGGGGATGTCCAGTTTCAGAGTGGACTCCAAGAGGGAGGAGAAGGCTGACATCTCTTTTTCCTCACTGGGTGACGGAAAGGGGTGACAGGATATAAGGTACTTATTTCCAATAAAAAAAACTGTGAAAGTGTTGGACAGAATTTGGTCAGGTCTCACCTCATTGGTAATCTGGTCTTTAATCAGTCACAATCTGCAGAAGTAAACTGTGACAGTAAGCATGAAGTAGGAAGAGAGTGACAATATATGAAGTTTGATTTGTGGTTGACTTGAGATGGACTTGAGATGGACTGAACAGCAATGCTGCCAACTGTTGTTGGATTTCGTCTACTTTCAGAAGAAAGTTCCTCGAAACACTGATGAGTGAATTCACCTGCCCAAGCCAAAGGTAGCAGGGAACCGGTCATATTCAAATTCATGTAAACAGCCTGAAATCTTCACTGGTGACCTGATTCAGCTGAGCAGTTTTTCTATTGCTAAGGAAATTACTGTCAGACTGTGTTGTCCAGCCTCATGAAGCTCAAGGCTTGCCTGTGCACACCAGGCAAAACCTGACAACTTGTGAGCACCATTTGGTGCTTAAAAAACTACCCACAACGAAATGACAGTCTCCAAGAACAAGGTTCTTGGCAGACAGTCAACAGGATACCAATGCATATCACTATCAACGGACCTTGTGATGAGGCCACACAAAAAAAAGGTTGAGAAAACGTGTAGAAGATAGACACAACTGATAACCATACCGTTTCTTGGCTTTCTCTGGGGCGTCGGTAGAATCATCCGAGTCGTCATCTCCAACACTTGGTCTGTCGGCACGCCCTGATGGTGTATCAACCTCATCCTCACCTTTGACCTTTGATGCAGTCGAGTCCACTTGATCATGACCTTTAACCTTGACCTTCAAAGACAAATAGAGAGGCTGCTGTAATTCATGGCAGATTAAACAATCCTGAAATTTGGAAATGAGCATTTCTGTCTTGAGTTTACTGTCTTTTCCAAGTGTTCGTGTTGGGGAGTCAACATAGAAAACTGGACATGATGGAAACTCACCACGTGTGGTGGGGTTGGATCTGACTTTGAGCGTGAGGCTCTCGTTTTCACCACATTGTTGCTCGACTTTCTGCTAGTTGCAGAGTCAGCAGAACTGCGCACTGAAAGACATAAATAAAATTTAAATTCTTGAAACACAAACAAGAGAATTATTTTCCGGGCATTAAAACAATATTTCCAAAAATATTAGATTTTGATTTTGGGAGAGGAAAGTGTGCCTTATCTCTTCCCAAATGTTAAGCAACTAAAATTTAGAAAAATTTTGAACTTGATGAAAAATGGCAGTGTTTGTTTTGAATAGAAAGATTCAGGATTTGATATTGGCTTTATTTGGGTTAAAACAGAGCATCCTTTCGTTCTATACAGAAAATTGAATAATTCTTGTGGAAGAGACTTCACTGCGCTGGTACAATTCAAATCCTCATGGGGCTTCTGTCCATAAGCAAGACACTTTATCACAATCTTTGAGCATACCTGTTGGACCAGTGGCTGCCCCCTCTTGTGATTCTCTCAGCTTTTCTCGTCGTCTCATTCTGGCGGAGGGGTTCACTGACCGTCTCTGCAAAGAACGGTGGAAAAACCCCTCGTGATCCCTTGGAATTCGTTGCATTTTTGGCAGTCAGTAGTGAACTTTTTACTCATAAACTTATTTACTGCATTTCTAAATGATTTGAAAAAATGTCCTAAGAAATCAGTAAATAAACGGGACTAGAAAGTAATAAACAAGTTTGCTCTCTTTAAAATCCTAACCCCCTCCTCCTCTGTCCTGGGCGTGGCCACGCTCTCCTTGGAACTGGAGACGGAGCTGGAAGAAGACGATGAGGGGGCAGCCGTGCTACGACTGCCTGACGGGGTTTTGCTGACACTGGCGCTCTTGCGTGGTGTACCGGCATTGGCGGGCGGAGTTGGAAGAGGGCGGGGCTTCCTTGAGGCAGCACTCTGTGACAGACCCAGAAGTATGTATGAATTTCGTGTTGAAACTTTCAAGGCCAAATTGGTCATAATTGCTTCTCCCATGCCCTGTTCATATACAAACCATTCTGATGCAGAAAGTCAAATTAATTGTTACTTTTTCAAAATTGCTTGCAACCTCCAGTATCTGTTTCGAAAAGAAACATACATTTTGAGCGTTTCACTTAATTGTCAAGTGAGAGAAAGAAACTTCACGTTACAAATTAGAACTCACATTTCCTATAAGAGAAAACTTGATCATTTCCTCCTTGATAAATTTTATCTGACAGCAAATCTTATTGTTCATCATACAATCATTACGTTAAGATCAATTTTCATACAATTTGTTGTTTGTGTGGTGAATCTTTAATCAGCATAGAAATGTCAGTCTGTGTTACATGGCCAGCTTTTGTGACTCGACATCGGTGGGTCAGAGGTCAGAGGTTTGAATCCAGCTGCTGGCTTTGAGTTGTGTTCCTGGGCAAGGCATTTAACTTGCATTAACAATCCACTGCCTCAGGCCATCTGACCTTAGCACCATCTTTGGCAGAATCCTTCTTGTCCTTGGACCCTGATGATGAGGGACGCGTCTTGGCCGACTTCTTGGCATCTCCGCTGGAGACTCGCGGGGTAGATGAGGGTTTCTTCACAGGAGAGGTTGAAAAAAAATTCTTTTCTGCTGATTATTACCCATAATGACCAAAACTCATATATAGTTTTTGCAAATGGTTATTTGAGTTCATAAATAAAGTTCATAAATATCTTCAAAACAAAATGCACCCAAAATGGGATGCAATTGGCTCCAGAAATTGTTTTAGCCAAGAAATCAATCAGCTCAGAATTGGTCATGAACAGTTTCTATCCGACAATATTTTGGTTGGTGAATGCTTAGCATTACCAAGACATGGCTTCTGTCTACCTCGGCATACCTTTTCACTCTTGGTAGGGACTTCAGTGATAGGCGACAGAGCGCCCCCTGGAGGCACATCACTGACAGCTGCAGTTTGCGGTGAGAAGTTGGAGACGTCCGTAATATCAGGCTTGGACGGTCTCCTTTCAGAGGTTCCAGAATTCGGCCGCCTGGCATTAGAAGGAAAACAAAATACCTTTGTCCTTTCAAGATGTGTAAAATAAGATATTAGAGGAAAGAGCGAGATTCAGAAAGTAGTGATTCTCACTCAGGTTTGGTATTGGGATGAACTGACATTTATCTTGTTTTAAAACGGACTTTGCAAAAACTGCAGATGCTGACATGCAGATAAGTTAACTGCATGTTGAAAACTTGTATTAACCTTTACCCTACCAGATGCTTCAAATTCCAGCAGACAAGTTTCAAAGTTTAAAGGTAAGGTGAGCTCTGGCCTAGAAGCTTACATGCTTGCATGTGGCTCGACACCAATTTAAAATTGAAAGCTAAAGTACAATGACATGTACCCTTCACAGAGGAGGATTTGAGGAGAATCCTTGTAAAACTTCCCACTGATTAAGGGATAACATAGACAGTTTCTAACAGTTAACCCATCAACACCGAGTCCTACATGTACACACACCTTGATCTGGTTCCCTCTAGGAAGATAGCTATGTGCCTTTTGATGAAGGGATTGCGTAGGATCCGTGCCACGCTGGGTCGCTTCTCTGGGGCAAGGTTCAGCATGGCTTTGATTAGCTCAATCAATTCCTCACTATAGGACTTTGGCATGGCCGGCATCTGTCAAAGTCCAAGAAAACAAGTACTCTAGTTAGACTACAAGATGAATAAACATTTAGGCTAAAAACCACTCTGACGAAACTGGTCAACCAAACAAGAAAATCCAAAAAGTTAAGTAAGGACACAAGATGCTGAGTTGAAGGTTTTCTTTGGTTTCTACCATTCATAAACTTGAGAACTATGAGAACATCTGGCTTTACATCATGAGAAAATCAATCAGATCACAGATGTTTTGTTTTTCTGGAACTTTGTGCACTAAATCACAAACAAATTTGAGAAAGGAGACGGGATGTGAGTAAACGTATATGCATGTTAGTGACTGAATTCTAGCACATAAACAAGGAGCTTCTTGCCAGTAATAATGTATGTTCTTTGGTTTTTAAGACACAAAAGAAATAAACTTCTTAAAGACCTGTTTAAATATCGGGATTTCTGGTACATTATGCCACCACTGCTCACCTTTCCTCTCAATATTTTGTAAACCAGTGAGTTCATATCCTTGGCATTGAATGCATGCTTCAACGTTGCCATTTCATACACGCAGCAACCCAGCGCCCAGACGTCAGACTAAAATATAACGCCAATGTAAGAATGTTTATAAGTAGGTTAAAGGGTCCAGGTGATGGAATTTTCTCTGATGCATTTGGTATACATCTTTGCATTTTTCTTCCGTTTATGAAAAGGATTTGGCATCCTTTGGGGGTTACATATATTGAAAAGTGCACTCTTCGTATACATGTAAATGTTTTCCTGATTTTCCGGACAACGGTTTCCTTTTGGTTAAATTGCCATGTGGTGAACCACCATTCACTACAAAGAAAGGGAAATGCAGAACAGCAAAATATCAGAAATTCTTGCAGTATTTGTGCACAAAACTATGCAACATGGAGATGTTCTCCCTGAAATAACATCGCAGTGTAGGTCATGAATATGGAAACTTGTGTTTGCATAAAAATGAAAAGGATCCTTTTAAAGGTAAAAACAAAAATTGAAATTGATGTTGATTGACAGGAGAGATGCATTTTCGAGGATTTCAGGTTTCAACCAAATGCACTGCACCAACCCATTTAACAAGGAACCCATAGCTCATAAATGTACCTTGTGGTTGTAAGGTTTATTACTGAAGAGTTCAGGGCTCATGTAGTACGGGGTGCCAATCAGCGTTGTGGCCATATCGTTGTTTCCCTCAAGCACTCTGGCAATGCCAAGATCGCCCACTTTAATGATCTTGCTCTTGGTTAAAAAGATGTTCTGTGTCTTCAAGTCACGATGAAGAATGTTCCTTTCATGCATGTACTGAAAGAAGAAATGAAGCATAGAAGAATCCACAAGAAGGCAAGACAACATTTTCCTTCGGAAACCTTACGAAAAATCAGATACAGGCTGAAAAATCAAATCCGCTTATTAGCCTGAATGGGTCCAAAAGCTGGACGGCTAAGAAAAAGGACACTGCACAATCCAGAATCCTTCTCTGAACTTCGTTCAAACCTTCTTCTTTCAGAAGAGAGAACTGGAGTTACATGTAGGTCACCAGGAAATTATTATTTACGTCCTGCTTGCGATTAGAGTCAATCCTTGTACCAGAAGGCAAATCCTACAACCTTCTACCACTGGGCAAAATTTTCATCATCAAATGCAAAATCAAATAACAGGAGGGCTATGCCGGGTAAAAGTGGTCACTTGGTCCCACTCTTACTGCTGTCATTATGAGTGGAATTTAAACGCTATAGCAGTAATTTCTACTGTCTTTTTTTTTTTAAGAAATTTATCAAAAATTACGTGTGATAATGAGGTTGAAAACAGCATCTCTAAATGTCTGCTACCGGAATTGTCAAAGAGGAGAAATTTTTCCTCCACTAACCTGCAACGCCATAGCAATCTGCACGAACCATTCTACCACCTGTTTCTCCTCCAGCGCCATGCCCTTCTGCTCCTTGAGACGATGGTACAGGTCTCCACCATCACAGAAACCCATGACAATGTACAGGTAGCCGTCGTCGCTCTCAAAGGAGTCCTTGTAAGAGACGATGTTGGGGTGGCGGAGACGGGACAGGAGCTTAGCCTCCTGCTCAGCTGCTGTTCTCTCGCGCCGCGAGGCATTCAACATCTCCATCTTTTTGATGACATACTGGTCAAAAGGAAACCAAAAAGTTGATGCGGCTAACAAGATAAGGCAGGAAGGCTAACATGGCAATTAATATTCATGTACTAAAGGCATTACAGAGACAAAAGATCAGCGTTCTCTATTATTTCACATTTTAATACACGTACATATTTACATGAATTCAGGGTCTAGACACTCCCAAACACAACTGCTGACTTTTTTCCGAAAGTTTTCCAAAAACTGTGGTCCTGGGATAAAAAGGATTTCTTTCCATCCTTCCCTCCCCATTATTAGAGAACAAACAAAACAACAAACGCCATTCTTCAAGAAAAGAAAAAGAGAACACCGTTAACAGTTAAAAATGAACCACGACCCATAAACGTATAGGCCAGGAGGCAGGACGTATTCTCAATCTTTCCAAATCTTCTCGTACTGGTACATGTATATGTGTACATGTACATCAACCTATAAAAGCCTTTCAAAGTTACTTAACCCTAACACTCCTCAGTCCTCCAACAGGTGAAGGATTGAGGAGGGTTAGGGTTAATGTTACTCTTCAGAAGGGTACTAGCAGCCTCATTCCTCCTAAATCACTTCTCCAGAGGTGCCTCACAAATTAGGATTTCGAAAGGGTTCAATAACCACGGTTTCAAATTTAACCCAGTGAAATGTGTGCTCTGAACAGGGATGAGATTGGGGTAGGAGAAATTCAAAGCATCCAAAAGGGGGGTTGTATAACAGAAACAGTAAAACAGCGTGACTTTTCATGGCTTTTAATTGATAAAAAGGTACAGCTTCTCTCCTAAATGGCCATGATTATGTGAATCCTGAAGTTGGATTTGAATAGAGTGCAAAAAATAAGGGTGTGCGAGGCCACTTAAAATCAAATCTGAAAACAGCTAGCAAAATGCTGAATTGTAAAAGGTTCCCATAGTTTTGTACAGACCAGGTGTACAAAAAAAGCTGAAATTCCGGGTCAACATCTGAAACAAAAAGCTCTAACTAATTCAAAAGCTGAATTTTCACACCCCTAAAAAGTAAGCAAAACCTGAAGTAATAAACCTCTACAAAATCAAAATGATGGGGTCCTAAACCCTGAGACATCACACCCCTGTAGGAGGAATTGAATAAGTGGTATCACCTGTTTTTTATCTTTCCTGTGTTTCACCAGCCACACTTCGCCATAGCTACCCTTCCCCACTGCCTTCAGAGTCTCGTAGTGTTCCAGCGACATCCTGGTTGACTCACTGCATCACTTTCCTATCACTGTGGCTTGGTACCAGACTGTCAATAAAATGTGAATGGGCAAAATCAGATTTTTAATTTAACGCCCCAACTCAAGAAGACCGTGAAGAGACTCGGGAGTGCCACTGCAGTTGTGCATCCTGTGAAATGCTGACAAAAAGCCCATAGGGTTTGTGCATGGATCGTCATTTATGGTTCCCTGAAACAAAGTCCAAAGGGCATTGGGTATTATGCAGGTTTCCAAGTGGAAGGAGTTCCATAACCAGTCACCATAACCTTAGCACAAACTACAGCACATAGGTCCAGCGTGCATGTGCCCAGCATGTGCCAAAGTCATATTGTTTACAATGTCATGTCACACATGTACATGAAGTGCCATGTTAGCTAAAATGTGTAAAGTGCGAGATGCATAAACTTGGATAAGGTTGGGAAATTTTCTATAGGAATTGGTCAACAACAGTTGGGCCAGACCAACTGCAGCATGTACAGTTGACTGTCCAAGTTGGACAGACGCTATAGTTGGGGAGTAACATTATCACTTTATCATGGCTGTTATATGATTTCAGGGGAAATTAGTGTTGTTCGCATATGGAGCTCTTTCCAAAATTGAATTAGGCCTAGGGGGCCTATTGACCGACCTCTGACCTTTAGGCCTACACCAATATGCTTGAAATTTCACTGTAGCCTAGGGGCCTAAGTACACTTTGTAAGTGAGGAGTACTGCTAGTCTAGGTCTACCATGCCTACATAACATGTGCACTTAACTTTCACTCAGTTAGGCCCTATACTAGGCCTATTTTATCACGTTGCAGCAAAAATAAGGGAAAACATACAAGTCCCTGTACAAAGTGAAGGGAGAGTTGCCCCCTTGCCCAGACTTGAGTGCGATAAATGGAACAACCTCCGACCGGAAGAATGATAGTAGTGTGGGCTCCCAACGAGCGTCCATGGAAACCAGCGATGCGAGTCACACGTACACGATGTACGTGTATGTATCGTATGACAGTGGGTCGAGAAAAAAAATCGCTGGCCTGTGTTTCTGGCGGAACTGAATCATTAAAATAACAACAACGCATCAAGGAAATCCATTGGCTTGATTCTGTAATCAAAGCATCATACATGCATTCACCACTTACGAGGATATTAACTCCAAAACAAATCAAAAGCTTGAAATTAGTTCAAGGCCAATGACGACATGGATTTTCCCAAATTTCCTTGATTTCACAAGCGCAGATATCTCATCTGTCATGTCTTGTCCCCAGAATCAAAGTCGTATAATTTTCCATTGTTTTAGGACGTCATAGTATCCCGACTACTAGCTCAACCTCTTGAGGGCGTACTTTGGTCGGATCGAGCGAATTGGCCGTATTCGACGGGAGGTACATGTAGTTAAAACAACTTGCGAATTACTGAATTACATCGATGAACATAGTTATGTCTGCACAATGAGGTTTGTTAAAGAATATTTTGATAACATTTTCTGTAAAATTTACTGTATTTAGGCTACTGAAATAGGTGCAGTCGGGGTTACTTTAAATTATAGTGACTCAACCGAACGATCGTGATACGTGATCATGAGTTTCCGTGCCTAGGCTATGGTGTAACTCAATGGACTAAAAAACCAGCAACATCTGGATGGCTCACTGCATTACTTTGCTATCACTGTGGCTCGGTACCAGACTGTCAGTACAATGTGAATGGGCAAAATCAGTTGTTTTTTTAATTTAGCGTCCCAACTCAACTGAGAGAATGAAAGACCATGAACAGACTTGGGAGTGTTACTGCTGTTGTGCACTCTGTGAAAAGCTGGCGAATAGCTCATAGGCTATACGGTTTGTGCATGCATCATCATTTATGGTTCCCTGAAACAAACTCCAAAGGGAATTGCCATTGGGAATAATGCAGGTATCCAAGTGGAAAAAGTTTTATAAACCAGTCACCATGACCTAAACACCAACAAAATTTGGAAATATAGCCAAAATCAACTTTTCCTAGGACAATACCAGTTTTTCTTAGCAAACAGGACTTAATGAATATACAAAATGAGGTGGATTGCACTGTGTTCAGTGGAGAGTGTGACTGAGTGTGAGACGGTGACTACCAAAGTTGTGATGACTCGAGTCATTGACTCAATTCAAGTCTCGCTCCAGTTCCAGGCGACTTGACTCAACTCGAGTCCCATGGGCAATGACTGGACTCGACTTAAGTTAAGTCCCTTATCACAAGACCCGACTCAGTTGAAGACTGAGATGCAGCCGAAGTCTAGTATTGGAAAACGACCATGGAGTCCATATCTGTCAAATCTGTATCTACCTAGAGAACTCAAATTCACTGCTTTGTCGCTACGCCATGACCGTGTGACTTCGAGCCAATAAGCCTTATCGCAAGTACCGCAGGGGTGATTTTGCACAATGGTAGAAAGGCATTGTACGTGGGCCAGCTTAAGACCTATTATAAAAGAGCCCTTCTTTCCCATTATGTAATGTGGCTTTAATCTTCTTGTGTACTTATGGTTAATATCTCCTTTATTTTATTTTATGTTATTTCAGTCGTCATCAAATATTACAATTTTTGTAACATTTTTCTGTCAATTATTGTCACGTCTTTTATGTCTTGTCTTGTCCGTCCTGTTTTTTTTGTCTCGTAGTTGTTTATGTTGTTGTTCGTGTTATGTCTTCTGTCTTAAGGGCTGTTTTTACAAGCCTCTGCTTATTCAACAGCCTAATGCTCTTTTCTTTTCTCATTTGTACATGGACTACTTTTTTTTATTTTATTATAGATTCTAATGTTCTTTTTTTCATTAAGTACATGTATCATGTGATTCAAACTGTATATACATGTACCTTGGGATGACATCACAATATGCTGGCCAACCAGACCATTCACATTAAGCATGCATTGTCTTCATGCCCATGCCTATGACTATTTCCTGAGCACCCCGACATCCAATATCCTTCTAAACGATACCAATTGTCCCGGTTTTTGTGTGTGCAGATATTAACTGGAAAGCCACGAGTATGTCTTCAAGGTATGCAGATGTCCTAGACCAGTGTCGTGTGGCACTGGTCAAAGATCTTAATCCAGATGATGTCATGGACTACTTGATAGCCGACAGAGTCCTCGTTCCCGACGACAAGGAGAGAGTGGATGCCAGGAGCACGCGCAGGGAGAAAGTGCGTGAGCTCTTGGACTTGCTGGCCCGCCGAGGTGACAGAGCCTTCATAACCTTCATGGCTGCATTGAAGGACCTGGATTCCGGGCACAACCACCTGTACGAACTGTTGCAGAGGAAGCTGGAAGATTGGGAACATCAGGCTGAACCCATGCGTTTGGAGCAGCAACAGCAAACTACACTATATCCTGTTGAGCCCAGGCAACCCGTCAAGTGCACCGAACAAAATCACGGTGATTTTACAGGTAACAAGGATTGATCAAACCCAGTGCTCTTTCAGAATTTGTGTCACTAGCACACTGAAAGTAGAAACTACATTTAAACTCTGTACATGTAATGTGTTCACTGGAAGCATTTTGGTCCTTAAAGACTAATCCATGTCAGGCAGGAACAACAGAGGGTGTGCTTTTACATAGAAAGGATGGTCCTTTGGTAGAAACTCTCTGTGTCCTGTACAGGTTTATGCACATTTTTCGCAGGATGTGCTGATGAGTGCATATGACTAGTTTCTGTGTGGTCTCCATATGTGCTCCCGTTGGGCGCAGGGTCTTGGCTAAAAATTTTTCCCACCAGCCTGTCTCTACATGTACTTTGCCAGTTTTGAAAACTTGAGGTGCGCTCACGTTTGGGAAAGTTGTCATTTACAGCCTTGTGGTTGAAAAGAGTTTTAGTGCTTGGGAACAACCTGCATGTGAGAGCCTGGCACTCACGGCAGTTATGGCTTCATATTACGATTGCTAGATTTAGTCTATAGCAGAAGCCTTTCAGCAACTAGAATTCCACTTGACCTGTTCTCATCCCCTTTGTCTAAGGATATGAATTTGCAGCCCTGTGGAGTTTATTTCTTGTATCCATGTTTCTTTCATATTCAGAAATTGAGGTGTTTGGAACAGTTTTGTAGTCAAGCATTTTTTGAGTATCAAGCTCAGTGCCAAAGATTGATTTGGTCAGGAGGGAATAAAATACCTCTTGAAATGGTGAAATTGTAATGAAACCCTTGCCCTGATACATCCAGTAGATCTCTTCAGTATTTTCGTTCTTGATTGCTTCGTACTTTGTTGTAGAGACACTACTACATTGGAAATTGGCAACACAAAGAGGAATGCCAAGCCAATTTTTTGGATACCCAAATAGCAGACTCCCATTTATTCCATTTGGAGTTTTGCTGACAAGATATGGCATCCTCCACAATCCTTTGGTAAATCTGGCTCGACTGGCCAAAATGACATCAAGAGAGCAAGGGTCAAAATGTGAAATTCCGTTTCAAATTTTGAAATTTTCTTCTTCTTTTTTTTCAACACAGACTCGAAACAGGGCTTCTGTTCGAAGCCTCAGCAATCCCAAGTTCCCAGCCATGACCTTGCTGAGTGGGGTCGCAACCATCCAAAGAGCCCCAACATGATCCCCTCAGAAAAGCTCCTGAGTCAGCTGGCCGGCAACTTGGGCCAGGACTGGGAGCAGCTAGGGAGCCTGCTGGGGTTGAAAGACAGCGACATGTACCGCTGCAAGGTAGAGAACCAGTTCAACCTCTGGGGCCAGATCAACAGTGCCCTGCTCAAGTGGAAGAACCGGGAGTACAAGGATGCCACCATTCTGAGACTCGTCACGGCCCTGAAGCAGTGTAACGTCGGACGGGAGAAGTATGAATTCCTGATGAATGCATGAACTGTGTATATATTCAAACTTTCCTCAGTTTTCTTTACTCTACTCCAAGAAATCATTATCAAAAATTCTAAATTATGAGATTTGTTTCATGTTTCATTCTAAGGCCACATGAAAAAAAAAATTGGTGAGCGTCCTTTTTAAAAAAAATCTTGGGGTGGGAGGGTGTTTTTTTTTTTTTCAGTTCAATATACTGTACATCTTTGCTGGATTGGAAAATAGTAGATATAAAATAAGCTTCATTTTATCTTCTTTGCGAAAGGGGTTGACACAGGCAAGTCATCACAAAAGGAGATAGGGGTTGTACAGCTAGGCGAAAATAAGAGGGTTTTCTCAGAGAGGGTTACGGTGCTGCAGCTCTGTGAAGTGAGATCAGTATCTAGGAATGGCTGCCGCTAATGAGTATTGACCCAGCTTGCAGCAGAGGTTGAGGCCGCATCCGAATGGCACGCTGTGGCTGCGGCCACATTGTACAAAGCTATTGTGGTTGCTGCCTTGCCGGTTGCTCTCTTTTCCACACGTCTACGCGTGCGGCCACAACCGCAGCCAGTAATTCAGATGCGGCTTACACAAACACGCTAACGGTTTGGTGAATCTCAACCTCGTTCCCATGGGCTCGATCTTGCCACGACATGGAATCAAGGTTAGGTGAATCTGCACTCTTACATGTAGATGTTTGGGAGTAATCAGCGATTCCTGGAAGAATTGTTTCCGAAGCACGTAACAGAAGGTCGCTAAATTGAATCTGGGGTCATCCAGAAGGCTATTTTTTCCATTTATTTCCAATAAATAAAAAATTGGGGCGGGTGTGTTTCTTAGGGCAGGTGGGGACGATCACCAACTTTTTTTTTATGTGGTGTAATTTGTAAAGTATGTTTCAGCATGATGATTGACATTTTCACCTGGGCACAATGAATTTGGCAAGGTGTGAGTTCTTTGCTCGGTGTTTTGTTGGGCTTCTGACAGTCTACAACAAATACAGCATGGCAACTCTCAAGTTATTGACTGCAGTCCAACCAAGTTGAGAAACACTTGAATAGTGTCAGGCATGCTCATTGGGCTTTTCTGTTTTGTTCGTATCGGAGGGCATGCATGTAAAAAGCATCCAGAACCCTGATCAGAAGTTTACAGGCCACAGTGCAAACTGCCGGTAATCATGTTGGGAGCACTTTTGTATAGCAGGTGCAAGGTTACTGCAATTAATTGACTGCTTCTGTAGTGCCAAAATTCTTTGCTCTTGTGATCGCTGTATTGATGTTTTGGTTACATTTTCTTATTTAGTCAATTAAAATTCACTTTGTGATAATACAGGCTTCCTTTCCGAGTGCACTCGTAAGCGAATGCCTAGAAAAAATCCTCAAATATTTCCAGTCATGCAAAGAACAATTGTAGTTTGAAGCTACAGTGGATAGATACTAAAAATGCCTGTGTGGAAATCAGAAGGCAACAGAGGTTACTGTTTGATTAATCAAACCTGTAGCGTAATTGAGATGGGAAAGATGATTGATTGAAAAATTAACAAAAAAAGTGGGCCCACCTGTAAACTATCTGAGTCTTCTTATAGAATACATGTACTTGAAATAACTTCAAGCTGTCACAAGTTGTCACAAACAGATGGTCCTTATGTCTGTCAGTCAGGATTGACAAGGGTAATATGTTCAGACTGAATCCAACTGAAAAGGAATTATATTTTCTGCAAGAGCCAGAAATCATCTGCTGTTGGGATTGCTTAAATTCAGTGACTAAGGTTGGCAAGCATCATGTGCACACTTCGCAGAATTTGTAGATATGCTTTGTAATTGATTTCACTGGTACCCATTGCCCTATCCAATCACATGGACTGCTTTGGGAATCCAGCTGATTGGAAAAGTGGAAGTGCATGTGTCAACACATACACGTGTGCAAAACTTGCTCATCAAATGTGCACATCATCGGCAGTGTGAAAGTTACCCACAATGCTTTGTGACAAATTTGGCAACCCCCCCAAGAAAATTGGTCCTTGTAGATCCGCCCTTGCATGCACTGTAGTTAGCAAGTTTACTAGTGAAGGGCCTTGAAAGTAGTCAATCATTATGATTCATTGCTTAACATCTGTAGCCCATCAGTGTGTAATCCTTGAGTTTAAGAGGTAAGCCTTCCTCAACTTTTTTTTCGGTGGCAGATTAGTTATATGCTGTATACAACTATGTGAATAAATTTACTTCTCCAGGAGTGCTTGGGAGCTTTTTGTCCGACACCTTTACACCTTTTGCATGTTTTGGGGGAAATTAAATAGGGGAACAAACATGTGCCACTTCGGTTTTGAATCATATTTTTGTTTATAATTGCCTCACATATTGTGTACGTGTTCAAGACGTGATGAAGTTAGAGTTTATATTGCACATTACACATGTATATTACGTTGAGAGAATCAAGGTTATAAGTAATGCTGTGTACATACGCTTTAACAATCCCTACTTCCATTATTTTGTATTTTAATTCTATAAAAAGAGAGGTAAGACCATAATTAAACAAAAATGGAAGATATCTCGGATGGTTTTGGGTGGTGTTATTAGTATTTTGGTTTGTAGATATTACACAAACAGTAAATGTCTGTTCAAAATGTAAATAAACGCGATATGGCATTTATACTTTATTCTTAGTTGAATGAATGTGTGTAGTGACAGGATATATATATTTCTAAAATAAAGTCTACAAAGATATCAAGCCCTGTACTTCACCTGCAGACGTCATTTGACCGACCACTTGACGAATTCAAGGTCTAACCTGATTCCTGAGGGAGTTAATAGACTTGGGGGCGCTAAGGGTGTTTGAAACCTTTTCTCTTCTCACGCCTCTTTAAAGACGGAGAAAGATGACACCTGAATTGTTTTGGCATCAAGGGAGGAAGTAACGTGCTTGGAAATATAAAGATGCGTTGGCATGTTCTCCAGTTTCCCAATGCTGGAGAGTACGGCTGCGACGTCGTACCTGTCGCTCTGTTGCATGCACGCGACGCATTTGGCGTCTGTATGTCATAAAGCGTTTAATTATAATAATTATGGATCGAACTTGCGGCTTATGGTACGTTTGCGCGTGCAAGAGGGCGACATATCATTACTCGATCGGTTTAATGCACCACTGATGCGTACCCGCGATCGCCTTGTGTGATCGAAATTGTTGGGTTAACGATTCTAATTCGGAAAAACGGTCCCCTGTTTACGACCGTGGGTTCTCGAACGGGCGCATCAATCTTGCCGTTCGCTCGCCTGACTGTTCATGCAACTGTCGGGATTACAAGCAGGTGATATTCTTCCTGCCGTGTGACACCTTTAATAATGCTAAAAAGCCCGGGAATATTTCATCGTTGATATGCATAGAGAGGGCTGAAGAGGCAGATACCGGCATCTGTGCTTGACGGGAGGGCAGATGCAACTACGTAACTTGGGCACCGTGAGTTGACGACATTCTCGCGGCTTGTGTTGCGGTGAGGCCGTCACACCGTAAAGCTGTAAATTCGCCGGCTGGCCTGAGATTTCTTTGGTTTTTTCGATGGAAGGGACAATTTTACGGGACTGAGTCACCGCAGACGGCTCACGTGTCGCCAGACTTCATTGTCTAGCGCGCTGCATGTGCTTTGTCTGTTTGGCCTGACCGAGGCACGGGCGTGTGAGGCGGGCAACCAGCGGCTAGAAGCAAGATGACCAACCCGATCCTAGGCGGAGGAGGGCCGGCCCATCGACGGATGTCCTCAGACTCGGACAGAGAGCTTGAAGGTATTGGCTGTGCCTCCTTACCCGCCCAAAATGTAATTTTTTTCTGCAGTCTATGTCTACGGGCGATGCAGCATGCACGTCAAACGAAATAGTTATAAAAAGCAACTCTTTAATTGCGGAATATTTTAATTAAGAATAACTTAAAGGCTAACTTATGGAGCAGTAATGTTGCTGATGCACCACTAGCCTAGTTTATGACACATTTACTTATAAATTTTCGAGTTTCATTTTTGCAAATGTAACGAGAATAGGTACATTTTTGTTGCGTAAATCAGACTCGGCCGTTGTCAAATTTAATACACACACTCCAATTAGAAAATCTTGAAATAGGCCTACACTTTGCATGTGCTTACCTGCTGCCTGGGCGGTAACACTGAAAACAAAAGGTAAAATATTTTACATGCTAAACTGATGAAGAGAATGCTATGGCGTTACCCCAGGTGGATCTTTGAATAATTTAGTCACTTTAATTGTGCATAGTGTACGAATCTATTATTGGATTTTGACATTTACCTTAATTAATGCACAGCGTTAATGCCAGCATCTGATTTCACGTGTCAATACCATGATGGGTCGCTTTCCCCACGTTCAACGGCGCGCAATAACTAACGCTAATGCGAGGCTTCGTAGTCGAGGCACCTCTTCAGGATTTGAGGACGCCTGGGGCACATCATGAGAGACTTCCACCGTCACTTGTCTCTGTCTGTGCTTCATTTTGTTTTAACATAATGCCGCATGTATATCCGTAGCTACCACACGATCACTTTCAGAAAAAAAAATTATTGAAAAGAAACAGGAAGGTTTTGGGACAGCTTTTACTCTGCATAAACAATCGTGCGCGTTGGCAATATGCGCCTACGCTCGAACGACATCATGCGGTATTTGGGCAAACATGCTGCCGCAAATTTCAAACGGTCAAATTCCAAACTATTTAATCATCTGCTGATGTCTTCAAACAAAGCAGGATTGTCACGTTAATGATTTAAGGCAGTGCTCTCTTTGGCTGGTAGGCCTACTTCAAGCGTTTTTGGCGTGTTTTGCTCGTATAATAGGCCTATGGCCAATTTGTTGGGTTCAAAGTAAAGTCGCATGAGGCTCCGAATTCGGAAAATATTTGGGTCTTTAAATTCTCGAAAAATATTGAGTGTTTGTGTTCGTTAAGTTAATGATGCTTTGAATTTTGTTTTCTGAAGCAGCTCTGGCTTTGTTTTGAGAAGTGTCAATGAGACAGCGTTTTTTCCATCAACCCCCCCCCCGCCAAATTATGTGAAATGCAAATACATCCGTTGCATTAGTGTGGGCGGGAATGTGAAATAAATTATTCAGATGTACAGGTATTTTACCAGGCCTTACAATTCAGAATTAAAGCTAGGGTGGGTGGAGGTCAACAACCCCCCCCCCTTCACTGTCATTTAGAGGCCTTCGCTCGGCTATTTAAGGTTGGAAGCCCTGAAAAGCATAAATCATTTGGGGGCTTATTTTACGCGTACCATTAATGATTAAACAGAGATTAAATGGCATCACCGACGGCGACAACTACATAGGAACCCCCCCTCTTGTACGAACAAATTTTTCTTGGAATCCTCGAACAAAAATATTCAGGATCCGCCCCTGCAAATTGTATGAAATTTGCAAAACACCCTAAAGCAACAAGCGGAGCCTTCCTAAAATAGTTAGACATCACTTGAAAACAGGTGGATTTCGGCCAGCAGAATTATGCACCTTTATATGCTGCAGCAAATCTTGCCATCGGGGACAACAGGTTGTGAGGAAAATCCTCCAGACGAAAGGTTGGCGGTACGACAGTTGTCAAAAGGTTGCCTCGCACAATTTCAAATCCTCTCGTCAATGACAAGTGAATTCTTGTATTCGTTTTCTTGGCAGTCACTAGTGTCAGCGATGGCGTCGAGAGAGACATGCGATCGGCTTTTTCGACTTTTTTCCCCAGTTATAGTCCGAGACGATCCGTCTTTATATGTCTCTTAAGTGACTGGGGTCAATGTTGGGTTATTGGCCCTCTTCAAAAAGACACAGTGGACTATTTTTATAACATTTAAACCCAATTGAAGGTAATTTCTTGCGTGTGTGGTTTTTTTTAGGTTTGAATCTGGTTGCTTCTGTCATTCCTACTAGTGACGCGCGGGGGGGGACCTTCAGCCCAACAGCAGTGTTAGATCTTAAGGCTTTGATCCTTGATAAGGAAATTGTTGTTTTAGTATCGAATTGAAACTTAACACGTTGTCTCTTAAAAACTGATGACTCACTTTAAATACAATGATGCTTTTAACAGACGGTTGAAATGAGACAACTTTTTAATAAGACACACAGCAGTCATGCAGCTGTGCTATATTTAACATTAACACGTAACACCATTCAAAATGACCTATATAGAATGAGGTTACTGAGCTGAATAGAGTTCTGTGCTGCGTACATGTAATTCAAAATATCTCTGCATCCCGGCATGAGTTTCAAATGAAATTTTTAGTATAAATAGAAAACACTGTTGATACCATTTCTGATTAATCCTTTGGGAAAAATGAACGCTTCATTTGGGTTGCATTTGGGTGACATTCTGTGTGAAACTAATTACTATTACAGAGGTCGAGTTGACAACTCTAAGGGGACAACTAAGGTGGAAAGCTTGCGGTAACACCATGCCAGGATACGATCTCTTTGCGAGTTTGTATGGTTCTGAAAAGAACCCTGAGGAACTCTGATAGAACATGTGGCTGCTTCCCCCAAACAAAACTCATGTTCAGAGTTCCTCACGGTTCTTTTCAGAACCATACAGACCCACAAAGAGATCGTATCCTTGCATGGTGCTACCGCAAGCTTTCCACCGTAGTTGTCTGTCACCATGAATAGCTTGAAATAACATCTAAGGGGACAAGTGAAATGAATTCAAAAGTTAAGAAAAATCTTCCCCGGCTTCGTGGCCACAAGCACTGACTATAGCTTTGTTTGGGGGAAGCAGGACATGTTCTATCTAACAATCATACTGTAAATGTATAAGTGAACAAAGTTAGAGTGTTTCCCTTCCCTGTGGCAAAACAAGATTATCTGAAATACTGCAAAGTTTGCAGACAGCTCAAAGCAGATCCTACTTTAAACGTGTATGTTTGCAGAACAGCAAGATTTCATATGAACTTTAAAATCTAAAAAACAGAGGGCCTTGGGGAGCTAGGCTATATTACAAGTCACTGATCCGTCAAGGCCGCTGTGCGACACTTTCAAACGTAATTAAGCTTCTCTTTTTTTCAAAGGATGTCTGCAAGGCTACGTATACACCTATAAGGCTACTGGTAAGCTACAGGGCCGGCCATAAAGTAAGCTACTTTTGCACGAATCACGGGGAATTAGGGGTCGTTAATATATGCATTCACCATGCATGCGCATAAATGTAAGACTAAAAAGTGCTTTTGAAACACGCGCTTAATTGAGATAAAATCAATATGCATGTGTACGCTTTCTCATTTTAATACCTTCCAGGAAGCAGCTTTCATTCATCGGAAATCATTAAAACACTCCACACCTCCATTTAGATTTACCCTCCCTGAGCGAACACTCATAAAGGAATATAGAAAGCGTTCACAACACGAAGCAAGTTTTAACAGCGTATCCAGCGGGGAGCTAGACAGACATCTCCTTGACATGTTACCACTTTTTTTTACAGAAGTCGAAAGTGCTGAAATTTAGAAACGGCCCTCTCCGCCTTACTTGGGGGAGGGGGTTCATGATTCTTTCAGTGGATGATTTTGATTTTGCTCCGACGTATCCCTGACCTTGATGTGCCACCAAGGAAGTTGGATTCACTGCATATACCACACGAAGAGGAGATTGAAAAGTTAATTTATTAACTTTACAAACAGCCCCTGACAATAGACTTTATCCACAAGAAGCCATTTTTTATCATGTTCCCTGAATCTTATTCAGTACGTGTATTCAGTTAAATTGCGGTGCCAGACTGCTTTGGGTTCCATACCCCACTTTCAGTTTTTTTCAATGTTGTTTGTACATCTAGATATAATTGATAACATATTTTAAATTTATTCATTGGCGTTAATGACATTAATTTGTATTGAAGTTTATTTTATGTACTTCCAGTTTTATTCTCAGGTTCCCAAAATTAAAAAAACAGTAAACCTCACTTTCGGTTCAATATGGCCGATTTGGATATAAGGCCAGTTCGTCGATCCAAGGTACATCTGCAGCAGCTCGTATGTCACCGCAAAATTTCCTATGAAGTGCCTCCGTACTATTTTCACTGCTTGAACCATTTTCACTGCTTGAATCAATACCGTTGAAACACTCTCTTGTAACAAGCGGAACTTGTTCCTCCTATCGTTCCATTATTAAAACCGCCTGTGCCAAAATGATTAAATGGCCGCAAGGTAGTCGCAAGACGCGGCCTCTTAAAGTAAGGTCGCCGTCTAGACAATCTTGCCAAATAAACCCAGCTTATTTACGCATTTCTTTTCGCATAAAATTTGTAAAAGGTGATTAATGGTTCAAGAATATGAATTTTTTACGGGGATTTAGAGTAGGTGATATTTCATTTATTTATACCTTATCGTTCAGCACGAGGAAGACTTAGAACGATGTCATCCCATGGGAGAGATTTAGCCTGCTGGCTCATATTTTGGTGTGCTTCACTCTTCTTGTACTCCTTTTGTACCGTGCAGATCTTGTACCGTGCTGCGTTTCATAACGGGCTGATGGCATTAGGAGCATATAAGAAACGACCTCTATACGTGGCTGCGCGTTGCCGGTAGTTTCAAGCACTTTGGATGGTCTCTACATCAACCAAGTTTAGAAAGTTTGAAAAACGCACGTGAATGCATTAGTCATTGAAAACGTGTACAAACGTGAAACTGTAATAGACATAGTAACCTAAACAGTAAAAAATCAGTTTTACCATTTTTAGTCTAAATAAAGCAGCCACTTGCCCATTTTGTGCCGTTACCGGCCATTATGCACGAGGTCAAACTAAACTCAAAGTGGTAAACATCGATTGGCAATCAATGTAGCTATGATATGAATGTGCTCTCTAAATTGGGCCGGGTTGGGATGTTTTCTCCGATCGATGCCACTGCACAGTCCCACAAAAAGCACCAGCAATATAACGGTAGACGACCGAGCAGAGATTACATCTCGACGGAATGACGTTAACGTCCGCTCAGGAGCGTCACAGGGGACGCTGGATTGTAACACTTCGCCACGATAGCGACCCAAATCGCCCCATTGACATTCCGTACGCCGCGGACAAGGGGAAAATTTGACCAGATCTTTGCTGAGATATGTGCATAGATAGGAAAGTGCTGGAGGGTATTACTGGTCCGTGAAGCAAATAATCAAAAAGGGGAAATTCAATTAGTTGTACACACACATTTCGTCTAGGACTGTCAAGTCGCAATAACGTGGATTGAAATTCTTCTGAAGTTAATGTATCCATAGAATGCTGAATGCTAATAAGGCATTGAAGCGATTTTATTATGATAGAAAAATTATTTGGTATTGATGGATAGAATTTTCAAAATAGATTTCTAAAGTTTAGGAATTTGAAGTGTAATACTTACCTTCTATAAACATAAATAATTGTGTGCATTTACAAAGAGGTAGCAAGATTGTGTTTTGTAAACGCAGTTTGTGAAATTTTTATCACTGAGTAGATTGGCACTTGCTTGTGATATTAGAAGCATCATGGTAAATTCATATTCCACAACTGTTTGATCCTTTCATGGAGGTGGTTTCAGATCTGAATGGCTAATAATAAGAAATATGTAGTGATTTTACCATAAAAAGAACACCTTTCCTGCAGACACTCGAGGCTCCATCAGTGGTACCAGCGTTGGCTCTTGTTTCACGAGTCAAGTGTAATTCTAACCAAATCTGAAGCAACACGAGATAAACAGTTGCATCAGTCGTCTCAACCTACCTCCCCCGTAAGACAGGCTCACATTACCCCCCGACAGAGAGTAGAGTCACGCTGACGCATGCTCTGTAGTCGAATTCATTCCCATCACTTTTGATACCCAAAACAAGCTTACTGAAGAATCGCCGAAAATGCTTAATTTTAGAAGCATAATAGCGTGTTAGTTGTTTGCCAATAGAGGAGCACAATTGAAGAATTGATAAATTGTCGTCATCATTGACAGCTTCTCCTTCACGGTACTAGATACTAATAAATGTAATTTGTAAAAGGGCGTGCTTCAAATGAAAAAGCAAATCCACGGCATGGCCAAATTTTTGATGGCCCCCTCTGTACAGAAATGTCTTCAACAAAAACTGTGAATTAAATTTTGAAAATATCAGCACTCTGTAAGATTATTCATAGCCTATATAAGATCAAAAATTATATTGGCCTAGTGCTGCTGGCCCAACTCATTACATTCAGTGTGGGAACGAGTTCGAAAGGTGTAGGGTTTTTAAAACTGAACTGAAATCTTATCTTCCCATATTAAGTATACGTCGTAACCTAATTAGTGTACACACAGGGTTTTGTATATCAATCTCATAATCTTATTGTGTAGGGGTACCGTAAGACGTAACTTAAGCCAACTGTACTATTATGTCAAATTGGCTTAGAAGCAGGCTGTTTTGCTCATCAGCGACAGCTAATTATAAATGTTGCGGCCAGGTAGTCGCTTCCAACTGTTTCTCAGCTGTTTCTTACTCTGTAAAGAATATTTTTACAGATATTCAGCCACGACACGAGTCCACTAATTCAGCGGTTCTGTGGTCGATACTAATCGGTGAAGGTGAAGCATTGTAACAAAAAAAAGGATATAAAGCCTTGTGTATCGATGTCAAATATTTCTTCTCAACTCCGCCATATGGCTCTTTTCGCGTATCTGACAACAACTTCAGATTAAAAAATTCCAGTCCCTTCATTTTGAGCATAATGCATTCCAAACCACGCATATTTTCCATGACACCTCTCAATGAGACTTGGAAGAAATATTTCCCCCTCAGATGTTTCCGCTTATTTTGTCCATTTTTGTCAAGCTGTAGTTTCATTTGCCCTTAGATCTGATAAACAACGTGAGCATTGCAATAAAAAAACTCTGGGGATATCTATTAAATTCCAGTTTAAATGCGTTTAAATCAACATTCCCTTTTTTCTCATTTTGAAAAGTTGGCTATGTGGTAGTAGTTTTCCGGCTTTTTTTTTGTTGGGAACTTGACTGGAACCCCTAATTCTGTTCTCGATGCTGAAGAATTACACATAGGCCTACAGATACATCGACTGTCCTTGATTTCCGTTCCTGCCCACAGTCATGATGCATTAGTGTTGAGGCATAGAGAACGAGCCCAGAATTTGTGCTTGAGTGTGTGTAATTGAAAAGTGACATCTTGGATTATTTTACATCCTCAATCGAAGTCTCATATTTCCCTATTCACGGGGGTATACATTAAAAACCTTCTTAAGTTCTCGATTTCAACTCAAGCAGAGAATTTGTTTAATTTGTTTTTTTTTCTTTGAAAAAGAACATTTATTGAAGATTTCTATCAACACTTTCCTTTCCAGTGGCAAAAAGTACTGTAAGACCATAATCCGTTCGAGGTGAAGTCCTGCAATATAAAGCGCAATTTTACCTATGACTAACGTGTACAAAGCAAATAGCACTTTTCATCATCAGTGTTGAGAAAATAAGGCAAAAGAGGAACTCATTTGAATCACCGTGCAATTTTTAACTATTATTGGGAAAACAAAGAGTACCTGTAAGTGAATAATCAACTGCGACAGATGGTGTTTCTGTCATCCAGTTAAACTATAACCTATACAGTATTATCCTTTTAGGCAATCTCAGCTCGTAATGGCTGCTTAATATTACTACGCGAGGCCTGAAAACTTGAAAGGCGAAAGGGAAAAGCAGTTTCCATGGCAACTCGAGTCGTCTCTTTCCCTCCCCAATCCTCGTGTGGATATTGAAGCTCTCACGCATGCCTCGCCATTCTCTGTCAGAGCCCGGTTGTTTATTCAGACGACAGGCCGTGTGTTTTCAAGTAAAAATGCGGGCCCGGGGGCAATAGAGGAGAATGACTGAAATTTAAAAGCGGCCACGTGTTGTGCAGAACGAGTGTTTTTTGGAAGGCTATGAACTCGTTATTTTGTGTGTTTTGGTTCGGTTCCGTGTACCTCGATTAGGTTTGGTTCGGTTGTTTCACTCCAGTTTTGTACTGCTTCGATTTGGCTGATTTTGGTGCCATTTCGGTTCCTTCGGTAGAGTTTAGTTCCTTTTGGTTCGTATGGGTGTGGTCTTGACACTCTACGTATCCCTTCATTGCACTTGCATCCTGCAAGAAATAACCGTAGGCTGGTTCCCTCTCTCTATTCCATAGGGTCCAACCGTTGTTGGGGACTGTGCTGCGGGCCTGGTTTGGCCTTAGGAATTGTGGCCTGCATCTACTTCATCATTATCTTGCCTGCTGGTAAGTTTATTTCCCTCGAGTCAAGATAGACATCTCAAATCTTTCACTCCCTTCCAGATTATCTTTTGTCGCCTCTGGCAGTGCTACGAAGAGGAAACATTTCAATGTTGATTTCAATCAAAGAATCTTCCAAAAATGACTCCCGTCACCAATAAGATTTGTCGATTTATTTCTCATGCAAACAAGTTTCTCTCAGATCTGATATTTTCTCATACGTTTATGTCAAGTGCATCGTGCAAAAGATTTTTAAAAGTTGCATATTTTCAATAAACAGCCGGTTACGTCAGTTATTGGTCAGACCGGGTACATTGGCCTCCGTCTGGGAAGAATTATGCTAAAAGTGCAAACAGCTTATGTCACCCAACTGTATATAGGTAAAATATCAATCGCGTTGAGCAACGGTGGCCCATTGATAGAATGTACTTGGCATGCTCCTTAAGATGCAAATTCATATTGGTTTGATGATGCTTTCTTCTATCGCAATTAAGTTTTACAGGGAAGGGCTTGACGCTAGACTAGGAAGGTGTTTTCTGTCCTTGCAAAAATTAATGACGTAGGTGCTTGTTTAATAGTTTGTCAATATTCATTCCAAGCATGCTACCCTGCCATCAAGACGGAAGACGTACAACGTGGAAATGTGTGATCTAGATGGCCAACAGGGGAATTAATTCGTACCTAGTTTGGTAAGAGATCACTCTCTCCTTGGTTTTTGCAGGGTTGTTCCTGGCTATGGTGGGTGGACCCAAAAGTACCGTACTCCTCCTGGTCGGCTTGTCCTTTGTCTTCATTCCGCTGGTTATCTTCTCTGTGGCTTGCTTCTGTTACCGGCGACGGAAGAGGAGGCAAAACGCTGGCTACCACACCCCGTCAGCAAATTTCGTCCACACCCCTTCGCACGTATAGAGACAGGTGTTTGTATCGCTCTGTGGATAACATGCTGCCATCACAGGCCCTAGTCTGACGTACGTCCGTGCTCAGTCAGATTCGCCATTTCACGCTATCGGTGAAGCAGCAGTTTGGATTTGACATTGTTTCCGCGAGCCTGTCCACAGCCACGATGAATCTGCGAGATTTCCGAAGGCGCTTTGGGTAATGGGATCCGGATAATGGACGACGATGGTGGTATTTGTTTATTTACCCTAGTTGCCGGTGTGGCCCCTAACGTGGTATATTTGATTTGTCGCCTCTTGCGTCTTGCTGGAGCAATATTTTTACTTCAAATTTCTTCAAGCTCTTTCCCGATTACAAATCTTTCGGTAACGTGCATGCTGAAAAGTTCCAATGAAATTCTCTCTTGACCTGATTTTCCATTTTTTCGATGTGCACAATGATTTAGTAAGAAAATTAGTGGCTCACAAAGTTTTAGTTGGTCAGGGCCTATGTGGGTATTAAAGGTAATACTGATTATCAGAATTTATCAATTTGAAAGAAATTCTTTAATGTTGTCATGTGGGATTTTCTGAGATTTGTTCAAGTCTACCGCGTTAGGGAACTCTCTACCCGATTGCCGGACCCCATGCACCTTTTTAGAGCTTTGGACTAAATTTCACGATACTGAAATTGTTAACTAAGGTTAACAGCACGACTATGAAGGTAAATAGTACCAATATGTAACTGAATGAATTTGTAGCTTTTCAGCAAAGAGGATCGGCAACATTCCGTAAGGAAGCATCGAAAGTGTACTATATCATGGCCAGGGAATCTACGGCGACATTCGCATCTGACATGAAAACCTGAAGTTTACAGCCTGATAGGGCCGAGGCTAGACAGCCGATAGATTTCCGGAGTGAACTCCAACTGGCCAGTGAGAACCAGCTTGACGCAAAAGCGGAGAACAGCATCCAGCTTCTTGTGCGTGATTGATTGGCAGAAGTGATCGGCATAGACATACGCGTGCTAGCTTAGCCAGTCAGCAATGTGTGGCTCGAGCGTGTGTGGTGGCATCTTTGTACGTAACAAGAGTAGGCTCATTATACAGCAAGCTGCATTAGAATTACGGCTATTGGCGCTTGGATTCGGACGGTCGTAAATTCAGTTTCAAAGGTAACTGTTGTGTGCTGGTTAAATAGAATTTGGAAAGTTGTCGTGTCCGTACCTCGTGGACAATGTGACACGACGGATGTCGATGAATCAAACTGTAACTCTAAATTAATACTTTTTGATGATAAGTGGTATTTTTCTCTGCTAACGTGTACAACTGCTATTCGTCCTGCCTTCACAAATTAGACTGTCGCTGGTCTGACGTTCAAAACCGGAACGAGGAAAATACAGCTTAATGCTTTCATTTTGTGTATTTTTAGTGTGTAGATGAACAATATACGTAGGAAAACATTATTTTGAACGTGTCCGTTTCGTAGATTTCACTTAAACCTTTCAATTTTGATCTGTAGGCCTAGTAATTGAAATTTCATATAGGTAATGTACCGCAAGTCTTACAACACTTGAGATCAACTTACACAACATTTCAAGACACTGACAATGACGGCTCGTTCCACACAGAGCCGAGATGATCTTTGACGGCCGTGTTACAAACGTGGAATGGCCTAAACTATGTAGTTCCCTATGACGTGGTTAGTAGTACGTAATGTGGCTTGCGCCAGTGTATGCTTTGCCAAACGATTTCACAGGAAAGTAACATGCGCATGCGCACAAGGAATATCCATGACGAGGGATATAAAAAGATGGATTGCTAGCTGTACTTGTGAATAGTTAGGAATTTACCTTTTAGTCCTTCTGTTTTCAATACAGTGTCGATTTTACTTCGATCAGCTCTAATCTTTGTATTTTTCATTATATGTTTTTTTTTAGATATATCGTTGCGCAAATTGTGATAATGTAGAAGTATACTACCTATGGTCATATTTGACCACAACGGTTCACAACCGAAGTTTACGAAATCGCCAACAACGCAGGGATTAATATTTTTGTCCGTCTTTTAAAAGACAAATGAGTATCCCTGCAGGGATTCGGAAACTTTCCTCTGAATTTCCTAAATTAGCAAACAAAGCCTAAAATCTTCACAATATTTTCAGGAGATGAATTTCAAATTGTTAGAAATTAACATTTTCCCCATTTCACCCCAATGTTTGACTTGACCGAGTCAGCATACGGCTTCCATGGAACCACATGCAAAGCAAAACATTACTAAATACTGTTGTAATACAGGCATAATTATCAAACCCCGATAACAGTCCTTCCGTTGGGCGTAACATTAAAACATAGGTCTACCGATTTATGGTAGGTAATCTTTTAGTCAGTTTTTGTCACACAAGTTATTATTTTTTTTCTGCAAATGATGTATAAGTGTGTTGTACAGTACTTTTTAACATTATTGATATCTTTTTGCCCAGGGTAATTTTTTGTAAGCCGTGAGTGGAGCTTTGTGCAATATTGATCTGGCGGGATTAAAATAACGTAATGTGATCAGAATGGTTCGTTTTTTTCCTTCTAATCCAGGTTATAGCTATCTACCATATGCATTGGTAGGAAATTTGCCGCGACATTGCTTGTACCCAAGGTCATGAATATTCCACTCAATGTAATGAGCAAAGGAATGACGGCGTGACGTCACAGAAGGGAGATGGTACAAATAAGTTTTCTGTGTTTTACACCAGCTAAGCCCATTCCTAGAATTCTAGGAGAAGTTAATCCAGCTTCATCAGAGTAGAAGCACAGCCAGGGTGGCGATATGTGGGGATCGGCAATCTGCCGATATGTGTGTGACGATCTGCATATAATTTGGGGCTTGAGTATGACTGGCAGTCTTGTGCTAAAATTGCCATTTATAATTATGTTGATTTCAGTTCAATGCAGTGTTACAAAAACTGTCCATGTCCACCTGCACTTTGTTCCAAATTCGGCAGATTTATACCAGCCCCGCCGTGCTTTAATAACATCTGAGTATCACTTGACCACACGGTTTCCGCGACATTGGCCGTTCATTATCGATACGATCCAGCACCCGGGTTTGGTTCCAGCTTTTCCTCATACCTTATGAGATCTTTGCTACAACCTTAGCGGATGTAGGTCGGGTCGTGTGGTCTCCAAAGAGGCCCAATTCAACAGGTACAACTACTAACGTCAAGCAAGTTGGTCTTACTATATACTGCGGTGTGTAAGGTGTGCGATTGACTGAGGGAGTAAGGATTCCCCCTTGGCACGCAATCGCAACAATGCATTAACCTTTCACAAGGCCAGGTCGACTAATTCTCTCATGCTTTGAGAAACTATAAAAGCTTCATAAATAATTTGATTGCCAATTGGAGGTCCTGTGGTTCGAAAATCTTTATCTATCATGATTGTGACGGCGGTCACGAGTTTTTCGCATTTCTTCAGGTTGGGTTTAAACGGAACAACGCTTGGTAGTCATCTTTCCTGAAATTTTATATATAGGCCTATACATGTATATTTACAGATGTTGTGTAGGTCTATATATAATGAGGGTATTCAGATACATATCTGGATTCTAAAAGAATTGGCTGAGTTCACTGGGGGAGGTGGAATTCCGCCTCAGCTGTGAGATGGTCCAACATATCTCGGCTCTCATTGGAGGGTCAAAAGTGGACCCACACCCGACAGCGTCTGAACATTCTTGTTTGATCAGAAAACGACCACAAGGTTGCACAACAGACACGGGTGAGAGAATTTTTTATGCTTTCGCCTTTCATCACACATGGTTTGAATAAGTTGCTCAACCCAACATTGAAGGCAGAGGTTGCCTATAAGGGTCGAGTCTTAGGGTCTTCTTTGCGGCGCTTCTTGATCAATGCATCCTATACAGAGCATGGCGGTACAGTTTCTCTGTCAGGAGTGTAGGCAATAATATTTTCACAATTATCGCCTGGATTCAGGAAAGACAACAGGGCCAATAACAGGGAGTAGCTTGGAAAACCAGTATAGTGTTTCGTCAAAGAATCATCGTTTTCCAAAGTATTTATGAACTTCTTTTGCTAATTTTTTTCATTTAAACAATTTATTGTCCTTTGCAGTCTCTGGACTGTTTCCTTCAGTTCTGTAACTTCATTGGAGTGTTCACTCTCATTCAGTACATTGATATGAGCATCAAATTCACTGCGAGAGTCACGTAGGGATTCATCACTACTCA